AAAATCCTATCCAGTGATCCAGAAAGGTGAATGAAATATGGTAAAGGTCCTGCTGGAAGAAGCTGATGGACAATTCAGCACAGTTCTAGGCCTAGATCTGGAACATGGTAACCAAAGGAATTCCTGTTCACATCAATCATGGTTTTAAGAATGTTTTTGTACTGCATATCAAAAAAATCCTCAATTTAAACTATGAAAGGAAATGGATGCTGGGACTCTCCAAAGGGTGAGAAGAGTCAGAAAGCAAACTAATAGGAAACTAAACACATAGCAAAATTTTCCTTTCTATCAGTAAATTGCAAAAAATTTGAGCCATGTATACAAAACCTATTTCCAAGGAACCATTGAATTCTGAGGTAGAAAAATCTCAACAAAGCATTCATTGTTCTTTGTAATTAGTGCAGTAATTGCAGGCCACGTGGTGCACTTGCCATTTGCAGTCATGTTCCCCAACTTGTTTCATCAGAAGTTGACAAAGTCCAGAGCTATCTCATTACCTGTATAATCAGAGCAGCACCACAGGATTGGCTCTTTGTTTCCAAGGAAACTTGGGCATCCTGCAGCTGGAGCTGCTCTGTTAGGCAGCCCTATTATCTCCTGGCAGTTCAGGCTTGGGCAAAATTTCACTCCTGTATTTTGTCAACATGAAGCACCTGCAATGTTGGAGTCACCTTGTTCCTCCTCTTCCAGAGCTATTTATGAAGAAATTGATGATGTGCCAAAGACAGAAGTCAAGAAGAATGCAGACTGATGAAGGTGGAGGTTGAATCCTTCCCTGAGCACGTTACTCTCTGGTGCTGGTCCCGTGCAGTGATTCCTATAACGTACAAGTCAATAGCAGAAGAGATTTTTTATCTTGACACAACAAATACTTAGTACTGGAGTACTAAGCTGTGTACAAGTGGAGCTATGCCTTGACAGTTTGTCCTACATGTTCAGCTCTGTATTCTTCAAGGTGACTTGCATGGTTAAGGTATTCTGGGGGCCTTTAAAATATGACTTCCAAATTCAGCTGTGTATGAAGCGACACTTGACACCTGACACAAGTAAATCAAAAGGATGTTATGTTTACAGTAACTGCAGAATCCAGTGTCTGTTTGCCCTCACTGCTGTGTTCATCTCCCTGGAAGTTTATAAGGAGGTTTTGATAAGGCCTTTCTCTAAATTTGGGCTTCTAGATAGATAGATGTCCTGAAGACACAAACTACTACTTTCCTACATCCATATCCTAAATACACATATTTTTATTATCTTCCCAAGAACCCACAATATAGTTGGATTTTTGCTTTGGTAAGAGCCCAAGCTGGAGCATGAGGTGCTTGTCATCCATGGTTAACAGAACAAAAAACCTGCCTATTCTGTGGTTTTGTTGTTGCTTTTATTTACTCAATATTGGAGGGGGATCAATTGTTTCTTTCAATGTTCCTGCCCTGCAGAGATTGCTCTGGTGAAGGAAAAATTAATCATCTACAATGCAGATGAACAATGGTTATCCATTTATTTTAATTAAGTTGTTTAACCCTGTTAATAACAGTTTTATCGCTTAATAATTCAAGTGCCTTACGTATTTTAATGCTGAATGTAAACTGAGCACTTTAACAGGTATAGTTCTCTGAATTTATAATTGATATAAAGTTTGAGGACTTAGTTCGTGTTCATAGCAAATAAGCTAATTTTTATTTTTGAAATACTGCAATTTAAACCTTCCTTATGTTAAGTGTTTAAGTTCTCAGCTGCTTTTGCAACTTTTGTAGCATAAAATTCCAAATAAAAGCAAATGCTTACTGAGAAGTTAACTCCCATTGCTTCTGCGTGTTTACCTATTTGTGTATTCCCTGAAACACCAAATGTAGGTGGTAGTGGAAGTGTTTTAGTGTGTCTGTGGTATTTCAGTGCACCACTAAAACACCCTATTTCCATCCAAAACACAGCCTTGAAGTTTGGGACTTTTATAAGCAGATGTGAGAAGATAAGTTGCTTTTCTTGTATTATTCACACTGGTCTGGACAGCAGCCTGGGAAAGCAGCTGAAAATAGGATGTGAGGTGGATTGATTTTTCC